ACAAGGATGTCTAGACCAGGTACTGCATTCTCAGCTTGAGATATCCTTGGCACTTCACGCTTGAGTTTCTCAAAAAAAGTTTAAATATATATATTTTTTTAATTCCAATATAGCTAACCAAGTAATAGCAGGTCATAGACCCCAAACTTCTATGCAATATGAGAAAGCTTGGAAACTTTTTCAACAATTTATCAAGTTAACGACTCCAGACACATTGTCGGAAACAGTTGTTGGAATTTTTAGAATTTCTGTTCAGAGTTAAGGCCTTCAAGGATCGACAATTGCATCTTATAAATCAGCATTGGTTGACCCTCTGGTGTGGGGTTTTAAATTTACTTTGAACTCGAGGATTTATCAAATGCTCAGATCATCCTTTTTCATTCAGAGACCCCCTCGGCCTAAGAGAATCCCAACATGGTCTCCAGAAAAAGTTACTAAATTTCTTATGGGGAATAATTACAATATAAATCTGATTTGGGATGGATTGCTCCAGAAGGCAGCCTTCCTTCTAGCAATAGCAACAGATATGAGAATCAGTGAACTGATTTCAATTTCCAATAATCCATCATTATTAGTATTTTCTGAGGAAGATGTTACCCTTTTTCTTACGGAGATCCTAAGAAAAAATTAAAGGGAGGATTTTCAAGCTCAACCTATTAGGATAAATGGCTAATGGATGAGACAAGGGTTCCTCATATATTGTGCCCAGATAAAAATCTTCAGGAAGGGTTAACCAGATTATCTAATCGAGGCCCCTATGTGTTCTCATCACAGGATGGTAAGAAATTGTCTCCTAGTCAAATGAAAAAATATTTTTCTCGGTGAATCAAGCAGACCCTGGCAAGAAATTTTTGGCACATGACACCAGGAAATATGCACGGTCTGTGGCCTTTCTGTGGCATAGGAGCCTCAGTCAGATCAAAGAAGTGGGCTTTTGGAGATGTTCAAAATTTTTTTAAAAACAGCCGTCTTCACCTATCTCTGAAAGATGCTTCACATATGGTGGTGCTGGGGTCCCCTCCCCCACCTAGTCAATCTCCACAACCAGGACCACCTTCCTCATCAGAATAAAGTGAGTATCCTCATTGAGATATGTAAATTAACATTTTACCTTCCGGTAAATGTTCCTATTATTTGAAAATATTCCAAATGGTTTATAATCATAATCTGGACCTAAGCTAGTGGAACCTTGTAAGCAACGTCACCTCCCTCTCCACCTCCTGCTCGGGTATTCAAGCTAGGCGTTGCATTCCGGATTGAACAAAAAGACGTTTTTTCTAAAAAACAGTTTTTGTGATATATCCCAGAATGCGGCACCTATAACCCACCCATCTCCACCCCTCGAGAGTTGACTTTTGTTTACTGCTCGCTCTAAGGCAAACGGTGGCAGTGCGTGTAATGGAGGGTGTGGGAGGGGGTTTTGAGAATTGCAATTAAATGCCAGGTAGCGACGTGCCCTCCTAATATTACTTATTAAGATATTATTAGATGTTTTAATTGCCTGTATGTTGGCCTGGCGAGTTATTGCAAGGCATTAATATACCTACGTATAAGCTAGGTGTCGCATTCTGGACTACATCACAAATTGTTTTTTAGAAAAAAAAACCAGCATTTATATTTATTATTGCACAGTATACTGTACAGTACAGCACTGTATTTAGTTTATATTTAATGTTTTGTTAATTCTATTACCGGTATACAGTACTTTGTACATACTCGTACTTTTTTTGCGAGTTGGAACCAATTACCCAATACCCCATTGAAATAATAGATTCGGTTAACAAAATTCTTGGTTAACGAACGACTTTGTGGAACCAATTGTGTTCGTTAATTGAGGGCCCACTGTACAGTATAGTTATACATTTATTTTTTTCTTTTAAATGTGTAGCAATTACAGATGGTTCTTGCCTAATTTTTTTATGTTTACAATGTTTTTAGCTTAAGTGTAAATCTAATAGCTTTTGAGGCAAAGTAGAAAGCGAGACCAGGCATATGTCTAAACTTAATCTCCACCACTGAAAACTAACCCTTTCAGTAATAGGGTTACCAAAATATCAATGTCCCCACATATCAATCCATTAAATGCAATAAAAAAAGGGAAAATATTTTAGTGTTTATGAGATATAGTTGTTCAAAGGAAAAACAGTTGTCTGGCAAAGATGGTCCAAAAATTTCATTTTCTTACGCTTGTGGCAGGTGGTCGTTGAAGTAAACTAGTGTAACAATTATAATCTGGTAGTGATCGGAGTACATTGAGCTTATCATTTAGATAGAATCTATTTTGTCTTTAACCACAAAAAAAAAATGCAATGGATCATTTTAATTCATATGTCCTCCAAGTTACCTATTAAAAAACCCTGATTTTTCTTGTTAGTCTGAACCACACTAATTGTGAAACTACCTTCATTTTTATCTACATACTTTACTTTATGCAGTAACTTTGCTTATACATTAGTGTGTATATAATACTCTGACTTTTCTGTACTACTGTATTATATTAATCAACAACTTGTCAGTGACCAAACGTGTAACACTTCATTTGCTATTTCTAAGATTTGTAGGAGCCTCTGCATGAACACTTCATGACAGCATTTATCTGTATTGTAACAAAAGACAAAAAATGTATAGCTGGTATCCCTTAAAATTATGACTCATATAAACAGAGCAATACTACCTTTTGCACCATATTATGTAAACAGCCTGAGTTCCTACACATACATCATCTAGGTGGCTACTTTTGCAAACACTCAGAAGTGAGGACCTTCCTACAATAAGGTATAGCTCCATGTACAAGCAGTGTGCTAATGAAATTGTGGTAAGGTTACACTGTATTCACACCTACCTAAATTTCCGTTATTCTTTTCTAATTTTTTAACTTTTTTTTTGGCAAGGGATGAATATCTGGCAACCTTTGTCCTTCCCCATTGCCAGAGGCTTCTACATGTGGCTTTAGTCAGTCACTCCCCTCCAAATACATTCGCCAAAATAGCCTATTTTACATCTTTTTCATAGAAAAGGTATTTTACTAGACAACACCAGACGAGCACCCTTCTTAAAAGAATGCACATCATTTATAAACAAACTTTCATACTATTTACAACTGTGTTTAAGAAAATGATTAAGAATGAGTTAAATAAACACTTACCCCATTCCTGAATTTTCAACCTCCCTGATAATGAACAAACTCAAATTTTACTTATTCAACAAATCACATATGCATATAAACTCCCCTAAATTACCATAAAACATAATATAATACATCTACAATTACAAACATTTACATCTCTTTAAGGAACATCTCAAACTTTCATCCAATAGTGAATAAAATATGAAAATAATACTTAAGAACAAATACTATATAACAGTATCAAACAATAAAACAGGGAACAGAGAGATTATCTTTGGTTACATGTGAGGTATAAAAACTCATACTCAGGTCCTCTCATGCCCAGGTTACTACAATATTATATAAAATGTACAAGTTTAACACCTCATGTGTTAAAAGAGGCTTTGATTGGCAACTATCAGGAGGTAACAGCAGCCACCAAAAATAAAATAAAGTGGTGTGAGCATTATACTGCAATACTGTACTGTTTGCTTTGGAATGCCCATGGGGCTCCCAGTGCAACTTCCTGACTTGTATCCAATTTATATTTAAACATTTAAAAACTAATATATAAATCCAAAAGCCTATAAATCAGATGCCTTAAATGAGAATGCACAAGCATTGCTTGATCTAATTCTCAAGAACCAATACTCTAAAGTAGTTTGTGAGGAAATCCCGCCAGAAGAGAGAACAATAAAAATGAAATTATTCTCCTCTTAAGAGGCATCCAAATTATGGCTAACATTTGTAAAAGAGAATATGATGTAACAGACTACTCTCCATTCTATGAGGCTACCACCTACTTCCTGAGATGGTCCACAATAATGCCAACACTACATGATTGAAGGCATTTAACACACTCCGGATACATCCCTTACTAATACTTATAATGTGTCAGTCTGGCACCATAATCCATGTTGGCCAGATATCATTCACCATCTGTATTCTCCTCATGGAAGACAAGAGTGCTAATCAACAAGGCTTCCCTACAAAAATCATAGATCAACTTATGAACTGCTTAAGACACCAATATCCTTTCACACATTTTCGTTAGTTACACACTGATGGCATGTGTTACTATGACTCGACAAAGAAGCATTTTGAGTATTTATGACTAAATTACTTATGAAGTCGGGCCCAAATTAAGAAAAAGTACGAACCCAAAACATTTAACCTCTTAGACATGAATTTTGTCTCCCAGCAGCTTGAGAATAAAATCAAATGCTCTATATTTATAGTCAAGGTAAAGTCCTAGTTCTAGTACTACACAGGCAGCATTAAGATATATCCAAAGTTTGTAGAGTAAAAATTAGTATAAAATGCCAAAGGCACTCTATGAAATGAACATTCAAGGAGAGATGAGAAGTCTGTACTATATATCAAGTTTATACAAGAGTGTCATGGAGGGGTTTGATCTTACCATAAAACCTGGAACTATCTGATGAATGGCATCTTTAATATACAGTATAATAATCACTTTTTCAATATCTGGACTGTCCTTCTCTAACTTCCCAGTATCATTAGTGATAATTTACTGGTTAGATCTTGGCAAGTTTTCAACTGAGACCATCAGCACTTTTCATCCTGAAGTTAAAACCAGTTATTTTAAGTACAAATAAAACTTTTATTAGCTAAAATCCTCGACACTAACTGTACCGAGCTAACAATGTCTGACGCTGTAATAAGATCCAAGATGCACTATTACTGATATCCCTATCACATATGCTATTGTACCGAGTGTCAGGAGCTAACGTTCCCACATTCATTAAGTGACTAAAGCTCTCACAATGGTCTCCAACATGTTTCTCATTTTGCTGCACTCTCCTTAGGCCAGCGTGACCAAGTAGGACACCATCCACCACCAAGTGAACCACCACCACTACAAGGCACAAACCTATGCATGCCCCGGAAGCATCCATGAGACTGCAGCCTGGTGGAAGAACTTTCTGAAGGGTGCCCAGCTGCAGGAGATGAGGAGAGGGAGTTGGAGGAGCAGCAGAGGAAGAAGAATGATCAAAATTTTCTTTGCCTGGGTCACGTGTCTCGGTTTTGCCTTCAGTAGTGTCGACTACTTGGTGTACAGTAGCATCATTTGAGTGAGAGACTGAAGAGGGATGCTCACCCACTAGAGTGGGAACTGCCTGCCCTGGCTCGGTTTCTGTTCCATACAAAGTCATACTCCACTCGGTCACCTCAGTTTTACCTGTGAAGAAATGTATCACTGAGGAAACTGTCATAACACAAAAGATATAAATGGTGTTTGTTTCTAGCAGTTTTTATTTCAATAAAACCAAATAGCAAGAACTACCACACAGTTAATGTAACAACAAAATTTACTCCTGTGTAATTCCTGTTTCAAATTCAAATTGGCATTATTAAGCAATTTTTTCCTGTACACACTATCTGCCTTTAGAGCTACAGTAAACTTAATCAAAATATGCAAATTAAAACCAAGTCAAAGGGTAATGTGAAAATTTGAAAATGCAAGAAAATTATTTGAAAAATCCAGTCACTCTACTGGTAACTTCCCTGTCATTGTATTAAAACCAGTGCATAAGTGACTCTTTAAATACCCAAGCAGCTGCCACACATGCACAACCATGAACAATGCACAAGCTACACCTGTTTGAGTAAGGAAACAAGCAAATCATGTTTGGGAACAAAATAGCAAACCATACACTTTCCATTGGTCAAGACAACTGCAATCAAACTTGGTCCAACAAAACATTGCAGCTGAACTGTCATAACCTACTGTAGGAGTTAATTGACCCTGACTCATGCAGTCATATCCTCCTGCTCTATACAGTGAAGGCAGTAGTGAAACTTTGGATACATAAGAAGGTACAGTAGTAGGTAGTAGGCAGCTATCAAACAGGGAGGTACTACCACCTGGAAAAATATTGGAGGCATAATGTGTTGTCTAATGGTAGACCCTGCTGCCATATGGCATCACAAAAATTGTGGCCAAGTCCCAGGTTGCTGATCTGACTTTCTGCCTCATTTACACACAATTGCAGGGTCTCAATTGTTTCTCTTACTTTGACAACACAACTTACATACCATATCGTTTCTCACTATTGATCTTTTTTTAATTTTTTTTTATTTCTTTATGGTTCTTTATCATTATTATTATTATCAGTGTTGTTGTTATTATTATTATTTAATTTTTAATTTTTTTTTTTTATAAATTTTATTTATGATGAATTAATTATTATTATTGTTATTATTATAAATATTTTTGCCCCCCAGGCCCCAATGTGGGTCAGTGACATGTGCCCGGGTGGGCTAATCCGAAAAAAGCTGCCCAAAAATGTAAAAGACACTAATAAACTCATGTTTATGGACTGGCTGTTTTTGTTTTTCCTCAAAATAAATACTAAGATAACTTTTTTTGTACATTGAGTTACTTGTGCAGACGTTGTACAGTAGTCATTTCAATCATGGAACATTTGTAAACTGTTTACCAATTAATGCTATTGCTTGACCTACCACCCTAGATGGACAACATTAATGTCTAATTATTGTCTAAGCTTAATTCAGGTCAATTGATTATTGTTCTGCAAGCATTTTAAAATACAAGTGCATATACAGTATAAACATTATATTACGGGCACAAATTTCAATCAAACATGAAGTAAAAACACAAGATGCACAAGTGCTTATTTTGTAATGCAATAAATCCTGCCCAATCCACATTTTGTTAAATCTGCTGCCCATTGAATTGTAGTGCATGTGCATTTTCTGTGCAATTCATATTAAGCCATGGAATATACTGCCAATTAGTCTAAATAATTTGTACATTATTTTAAAATAATTTTTTGGAGGCAAAATTACATCAGACAAATAGTATATTCAAACTTCAATCTAAAAGTCTTTATAAACATTGAATTAAGTGAAAAAATCCGACTTTTATCTTCATACAGTAATAACCAAACACTTACAATATTGTTTTGGCTAACCTTTCTTTAATGTTACACAGCACAGGAGTTATGATCATATTTTCAACTGTTATCATACATATGGTAATAACACTTGGCGATTTATAATAAATGAGAGAGATGTAGAATAAATGATGAGTGAATCATTAACTCTGGTTCACAACATCTTTAATACTGTACTGTACAGTATTGTATATTTCTAGAATAACAAGGATGTAAGTTTTACAAAGCACTTTAAATATTTAAATTTTCTTTATTTAATGTGCATTATTTGATTAAAAATAAATACTAATAAACAATAAAAAATAAAACAAAAGCAAATTTATTACTGCACAGTAACAAGGCTTATTATATAATACCCAGTATACAGTATAATAAGCCTTGTGTAGAGGAGCCATAAGGTGTAGGTCAGAAGAATGTAGTTTGTGATTAAGAGGTACAGTACTCCACACTGATATGGAGGATTGGTCGATTCATTTCTCCAGTTCATAAAACATGAGAATTTGACTTGATTCCAACATATTTTTACCGAGACTGGTGTTATGGCCCGAGTTGTTACTCGCACATCGAGCCACTGTTAGCCATATTTCTAGTACTCCCGAGACTTGTACCGCATCCACACCCTCAAAATCATCAAACAGTGAGTTCTATCTTTTGTAATTTTTCTTTGTTGTTGGACTAGTGTTTTACTAACCTTGCTATACGTTAAAGACCATCGTTGTTGAAGTGCAGTAATAACATTATACCAACAACAACACTCTAGTATAGCGCTTGTGTGTTTGTTTCAGTAGAATATGTAATGTAAGAATACAGACAGGATAGGTGTGTACATGTGTGTACACTAAAAGTAGGTCCCATATGCCTGACACCCTATTAAGAACAATGCAGGTACAGCACATTGTAGACTACAGTATACTACTTTCTGGTACATAAGGAGGCAGTATGGGCAGCACTACACTACCTCCTTCACTTCTTACTACAGTAATTAGAAAGTTAGGTACCCATTTACAGATGGATGGATTAAGGATGCACTGAGCATGAACCAACAACCTATGGGAGTGGAGACAAAAGCTATATCCATGTGGCTACTGCTATGAGCAGTATGGGCAGCAAAGCTATCTTCTAGTGTAGTGGTGTCAGGTGGTATGGCTCTATCACTTATAAGTCTTCAGGGCATCTGGTTGTAAGTGAAAATCCACTTTGCATTTAGAAATGATTCACTGTACAGTACAAATAATTACATACTGGGCAATCCTGATAAATTATTTTGAGATATTACTGCTGGAATACAAAGCCATTTATAGTCCTCTTCCTCTCCCCAGCCTCCCTTCCTTCGTTGCCCTGATCCTCTCCATCACTTTGCTTCCTTCTTGGTTTGTGTGCAGTCCAATATCATCCTCATCATTATTATTATAGCCATTTTCCACACTTTAATGGGTTTATCTGTAGTTACCCGATGGCAGCTTTCCATGCTGCAGTCTCTTGCACTCTCTCTCTTGTTAGGTTCCTAACTCTTATCATCATTTCTTGCATTTCAATGAGTTTGGGGGTACAGTATGTTTTAGGACAAACCCAATTTAATTTCACAAATTCAACTGAACTGATTTTCGTTACACAATATTTACACTCAAAAGCATCTGTGCAAACATAATCCTATGGACTGGGCAGGAACTGCTGTATTGATGTTAAGCATGATGGAATATTTATATTGATTTTAATGCCAAGAAAGCACCTGGAGAATCATTGCACAATAAATTATCTATTCATGAATTGATTTTCAAATTAATTTACACAACTCAAAAGTGATAAAAGGAACTTTACTTAATATTACTATCAAGGAACAAGGTAATCACTGGAAAGCAGAAAGAAAGATCTTAAAACTCCATTCGTATTTTGTTTATAATAAGGCATAGAAATCTATAAATCTCCCTACAAAGCTTTAACATCACATTGATTACATGGTACAGGGGTAATGCTAAATTTACTGAATCACAGAAAAAACTATCTAGTAGCAAATTAAGCATGCAGATAAATTTTTTAATGGGAAAAAGCAAAACATGCAGCTTAAGAGGTTACCACTACAAAAGGAATGTTGGGAATACCCGGCCACTTAGTTACCCTTATGGTGGGAGCTGTCACGGTGGTTTGGTGGGCGAATAGGAGCAGGATATAACTTTGACTTGTAGTCAGGGGATTGGGGAGACTGAGGGGGTTTAGAATACAAAGGGTTTCCTGGCTGGTTGGGGTGCCATGGTCGGGGTGTGGTGCTGGAAGTGGTTGATGTGGTGGTGGTAGTGGTTGGGGGGTTATAAGGATTGGAGATTTGCACAATCCCCCGTCCTCCTACTGCCCCCCAACCACCGCGGTCTCTACGCCCCCCTCGTGCCTGCCACTTCTCTGGGTTAATTCTGGTGCCATGAAAGATGAGTATCCACTCCTCCAGTAGAGTGGCTCCTAGAGGGCGGCGGCAGCAGCAGCAGCGGCAGCGTGGTCAGCATAGGCAGCAGGCAAGGAGGGGGCGGTGCATATTAGCTACACTATCAAGTGAATCCCTCTACAGTAAACCCAATACTTAAAACTGTATTTGCCCAAATACTGTAGTTAGAACCCATCACCAAAGATTTAATTTCAAAAGCCATCCATCTCACACATGTAAATTTTTAGATATGGTAAAAGTTAGACAGCCATATCCCATGTTAAGAACTCCAGTATCATACCAAAGCCAAATGAGCAATGACTGAAAACTACTTGTAGTGACAGACTAAGACCCAAAAAAGTAGTTTATTGGTGCATTAGATGTCAAAGAGTTGCAGTGTTCTCATCACCAAGATCTTCTACTGGTACAATATGTAATACAAAAAAAATCATGCAAAGAAAACCAGGCATTTATAAACCGTTTCCCAGCACTCAACATTTTCAACATAGGAGCTGGAACACCAATGCCAACACCAAAGATAAATTTTCACACAATTTAACACACATGCAGTGTATCCACTCAAGACAGTTTTGATTTACTTGTTTAATAAAATTTTAGGTTCCTGGTATAGGTAATTAATCATCTAATTTTTACCTAATATAAAATAAAGAATTAGTGAATAACCAACAAAAATATCTTTGAGGTTAGTGAAGTATACAGCTAATTTCTGGGGTTTTTTTTAACATGTGATATAACAAAATGATGACACTAGAGTATTGTATGAAGCAGCTGATTAATGCTTGTAAATTTAAAGTTACTCAAACCACAATACTTAGTACCTTCTGAGAGCATGCTATAAAATGTAAAAAAGTGATAATCAAACTCCCAGATGATAACCATGGAGATGTAAGTAACCACTGAAATCTGAATTGCTAATAAACTTCTTCTGCCAGAACCCACCTGTTGCTGGCTGGTTCAACATATATTATCTAGGTGGCCAAGCCTATATAATGTTTTTAATGTGAGCGCCACTTCCTCTTCCTCATCCAAATGACTTAAGGTCAAACATGCAATCCCACTTGAACCACCAGTTACTTCAAAGTACAGTGAACCGAAACACACTTAGTAGACAAGTAAGCTCCTTGAGGCCATATAAATAATTTTCTGCACAAATTCTCTCAGTTCCTGCACCAAGGGAGAAGGGATGGCTACACCCCAGGTCTCTTGTATCTTTTTGATCATAAAATAGGATAGCCTGTGTGAATCCTTCATTTATGACTACAATGTAACCAGCAAGTGACCCGTGTTAGGGATGGTATATAGGTCAATATCAAAAGTGTCTACTACAGCATCAAAACAAGGAAGTATAATTTTTAAAAAGAAACCATTTAGTACTTTAGTGCCACATATGTTTAAATGAAAACTTGGCTGAATATCATACAGCAGACCCTCGCCAACTGCGGATTTCCCATCTGCCGATTACGAGTATCCACGGTTTTTGCTCTCTATACCATTTCCTCAACGGCGGTATTGAATTTCGAGTATCTGCAAATTAGTGTGACATCTTTATTCCTCCGCAGTCTAATGTACCGGGGTATTCCCCTGTAAATGTGAGGAGTGAATTAAAATAATTACCAAAATTTTTTTTTAAGAAAATACAGTATATTGCATTGCCAATTGGCAATCATTTCACCAAAGACACTCTCCCACGATTGTGGGCTAACTCCCGCAGACATAAGAAATGTTTATTCTCCATGTTTTTGAACCTATGATAATAATTTCTTGAATTTTTTGCTCATTCTGTATGAATGATTGTGTGCATGTAATGGTAATAAAAATATTTTTTAATAAATTTAGTCTCTCCTCGACTTACGACAGGGTTCTGGACCGACGACCAGGTCGTAAGTCAAATTGGTCGGAAGTCAAAAAGGCGAAAATAATACATAGAAAATCTAAAATGGGTGTCTCTTTCTTCTCAGCACCACGAGAACTCTCACTTCTACGCTTGCCAGCCATTTTAAAGGGAATTACAAACGGAAATTTTGTCGGTACACAGCGCAATCATTAACGTCGGGACTCGAAAATACGTACTGCAATTTTAAAAATATTTTATACGACTGTGGCGGTAGTATGTCCGGGTAGTTGCAAGTCGAGGAGTAGCTGTATCTACCCACAACTATGAGTTGAAAAACACTTTGTAAATTAGACGATTTCCCACCAATTAAATTTCAGGACGCTATCATCCTCCCAAATTCAGAAATAAATATGTTAGGCCTCACCATTTCCTCCAATATGCCCTGGAAATCACACATCCTTAGTATAACTAAAGCTACCTCCCGAAAGTTGGGAATGCTGTACAGATGCCGCAGCCACTTCACTCCTGAGCAGTTGCTCCAAGTATATAAGGGATTCATTCATCCTACCTTGGAGTACCGCTCTCATATTTCTGGGGTGGCTCTTCTTCTGTCCAACTATTAGATAGGGTGGAATCCAAGGCATTTCGTCTTATTAACTCTCCTCCTTTAGTCGACAATCTCTCTTCCCTTTCTTTTCGCCGCAATGTTGCTTCACTCTCTCTCTTTTACAGGTACTTTAACAGGCAAGGTTCGGTGGACTTGGCATCCTGTGTACCGCCGACAAGGCCGTGGGTTCGTAACACAAGTCTTGCCCGCGGTGCCCACCGTTTCTCTGTGGATGTCAGTCACACGAGAATAACCCGTTTTAGTACCTCCTCCTTTCCTCACACAGCCAAACTGTGGAATGCTCTGCCTTCTTCTGTGTTTCCATGCTCTTACAATCTGTCTCACTTTAAAAAGCTGGTTTTCCAGCATCTTCGTGGTGTAGATTAATACAGTATAACCTTTTTTTTTCTATATTTACAATTTCTTTCCTTTCTTTTTTTTTTCGCCCCCCAGGCTCCGTTGTGGGTCGTTTGACCTGTGCCCGGGTGGGCTAATTCCCGTAAAAAAAAAAAGTTCACAGCTTGGCCTGGTAGGGAGAGGCTGAGATATCCAACACCACACCCCCCTCCTGCTCCCCCCTTTCCCTCCCACAATCCAACACCAACTCCCGTGGAAGTAAGAAATGTTTATTCTCTGTAGGGGTTTGACCTTATGAAGGCGACCTGTGGTATAATGGTCAGCACACTCGCCTCCCAAGTGAATGGTCCCGGGTTTCATTCCTGGGCAGGGTGAAACTATGGGCAAGTTTCTTTATGCCATTTGCCTCAGTCTATTCAGCAGTAATTTGGGAACTTAGATGTTAATTGATTTGCTAACCGTGTTCCATGGTAATGGTTAGCCATTGTAGTTGGCGAGTTGTCTTGTCTTCTCAGACTATTCCTTGACACTGGGTCCTGCAACTCAATAATTTAGGGTGTAGCTGTGTTGGCGACAGCTTCTTCACCTTAAACAAATTCACGCCTAGGCGCCGCCCTTGGGCTGGCCATCCTCATACACAAGGGGCAACCATTATTATTATTATTATTATAATCAATTCTTTTATTTTTATTTTTTACACCTTCTGTATGAATGTACATTCGATGTGTGAATGTACCATAACAAGTGTTAAAAAAAATTATGTAGATCTACCTGAAAATACGAGTTTAAAAATAATAATAACACAGCTTAGCCCTGTAGGGGGGAGAGTTAGGGGGATGTAGCTACAGGAACAGTCTAACTTGGCTTCCAGCCAAGTCCACACATGCATTGAAGCACGCACACACGTTTTCACGTCACACAAATACACACCCATGCTTTACATTTTTCTTATTTTATAGCAGTAAAATTTATATTACCCTGTACTGTACTACAGAACAGCATTTAATTTATATTAAGATATTTTAAATGAATTTGACTCAAATTTAATTAAATGTAAAGGAACAGGCAACTTAGGCTTTGACAAGAATTATTGTGGCCATGGCATCTATCCCCCTATTTCCCATAAGCCTTTAGTCTTGCCAACCACAAAGCTTTTTAGAAACCTAACCCCGTGGTTGGCAAGGGAATACAGCACTCGTCTTCATATTTTTTAACCAATTTATTCATCTCGGTTTTATGACACTACCTACATTTGTGAAAAATTAACATGGTCCAACTGAAGGAAAATACTCATTTTCCAAAGATATGAATGAAATTCCTCTTAAAGACCCTTGATGCAGCAAAACTTTTGCACCATATGTACTACAACTGCCACCCTGGATTCATTGGGACTAGCTGCAATTACGGTAGTAGGCAGCTATCAAACGGAGGTACTACAGCCTGGGAAGATATTGGAAGCATAATGTGTTGTCTAATGGTAGACCCTACTACCTTATGGCATCAAAAACATTGTGACCAAGTCCCAGGTTGCTGATCTGACTTTCTGCCTCATTTACACACAATTGCAGGGTCTCAATTGTTTCTCTTACTTTGACAAAGCAATATGCAGTATAACACTGTATATTGTTTCTCACTCCTGATAAGTTTTATCTTTTTCTATTTCTGTATTCATACTGTAGTATTTAAGGTTAATTCCCCCCCCTCCCCCCAATGACCCAAAGTTGGCTGGTGACCTGTGCCCAGGTGGGCTTATTCCCATAAAAAGAAGATCCAACACCAGAAGTCAAGTTTAGAGTACATTTCGTGGGACCACAGTATTCTAGGGAAAGCAAAAATGGTTAGAAATGCAGGAGAGCAATTCATTCCACTGTACTGTACTGCAAAAGCTCACTCATATGGAGATGTTCTACCCAGCAAAACTCTATACACTCTAGTGCAAACAATCCAACATCACCAGAAACAAGAGAAATGGGTAGGTAAGTTCTGGTTTACCTAGTCTCATTAGTGGCCTTCCTAGCAATTCAACTTCCTCAATTTGTAATCTTCCCAATCAGAGAGGAGGGGGTCAGCCAATTGAAAACACTGAAACCCACAGATGGTCTGGGGCAGAGAAAGGAGTTGGCAGAGGTGCATCTAAAGGACAAAGTGGAAGGAACAGTGGGCTGGATGGGAAAATGAGTGGCAGGATTGTTAGGTGGGTGGTCACTCTAATCAGAACA